TACCGATGACATAAAGGTTATTATATCTTATGATCCACGCCGTCCAGGTAATAACTTCTCTAGCAGTCAAAACTATCTCGGCGCTCTTGAAACATGTGACCTTTGGAAACTATAGTTCACACCAATGAAATGAAACGCCCTTGCCTACCGGTGCTCTATACCCCTACCCATTAACTAATAATGGTTCACCACTAGATAACAGCTTCAACGTGCGCGACCACGACGTACACTATCCAGGCTCACTGAATTTTGCGGAACAAGCGATCTATTGCTCTGCCAAAGGCAGGTCTATCATTTGCTATATACCGAAGCAAATGTGCTTGCTGAAGTCTCGACTCACACTTTATAAGTTGGGTCCGACCTATGGCAGAGTACAGTACAATAGTTGTCATTAACTCAAGTAAAAGTGACGGGATGTTTGTTGAGAAAGTTCAGCGTTCCTGCACTAAGCTCCTTCTATAAATAAATAAATAAATAAATAAATATTTTATTCTCGACAAAGCGAGACACGCCTTTTTGTGCATGATCAGCATATTGCATTATTGTACATGATAGCGGAATAAGCAGCACCAACAGTGGGAGTAGTAAAGTTGGAGACAGTAGTGTGGGCCCATAGAGCCCATGGGTTGTATGTAGTCCATGAACACAGATTGTGAGAGGTAAATATAGTGATCAGATCACTTATATGGTATGTTGATGAGGAACTGGTCCGATGAGATCCCGTAAGCAATGTAGATCATTGAGTGAAGTATGAGGAAACGGGTGGAAAATACTTATGAATAGTGGTATGTCACTAGTCAGATATGTAGGCGTGTTCGTGCGAGAGCCAATATATGCACAGAACTTGTAAATGTGGTGTCGATCAACTTGCCAATGTGTTAGGGGCGGTGACTTTATTGAGTGGCGAGTCACATCCGCCACGTCGCAGTGTTGTTAAACAGACATTTGTGGCTTTTTGTAGGGAAAACGCTTGCCAGACGAAGACCCACCACGTCCTGGAACACTGCCGGCTGTTGATATACATTGGCAAGATGGTATCTGACCGATTATCCTCGCGGATATTCGCAGTCACGCAACGCCAATTTGTTTCCTATGGCGGTGTAGTCGCCTTCGGAGTCCATTACAAGTGGTTGGGGCTGTCGAAATCGGACGACTCAGGTGACTTGTATTGAATTGATCAGTTTCCTAGGTTCTTTAGTGTGCCATGATTATGAAGTGCGGGTTTTTCTTTGTTCTTTATTGAATCCGTGTCCATGGGAGCGTCGCAGGTACGTCTTCAGCGGTGTTCGGTGCAAGTAATGTTATCCTGTAGAACAAGGGTGAGAAGAAAAACGGACCGAGCAAACTGCCAACAGAATTGAACAGGACTATGTTATTGTATAAATATAAAATTTATGGTAAAGTTGTGCTGGCTGAAATCAATGGAATGACCGATGAGCTGAGGCTAATGGTACCTATACCGCCAATGGATAGTTGCGATATGAGCGAAGAGAGACGCCAAATAAGAGAGGAAGACGATAATGTGAGCTGAGATGCACGAAAGTAGAGCCGAGAGGCAAAAGTCAATCAGAGACCAGAAATTCGGATTTCGGTGAGCGTTGCTAAGCATAGAGATAATGATTCAGACAAAGAAGAGTATCATAAGGTTGTAACTTATACCAATGAGAACTTGAGTCGATGGCAGCCGGTGCTCAAAATAAGAGAGGCCTTGGCTTGAGACCTATGGACATTTGGAGCCTCAGAGGACTGACTTGGCCAAAATGTTTTGGAATGAGACGCACAGAAGTAATGGTAACCAAAAGAGAACTGGGATGTTGCGCTGATACTAGTGATAACTATACCGCCATTGGACTGTTGCGATATAGACCAGAAGAGAGGCAAAACACGAGAGGGGACGTAATTGTGCGCTGAGAAGCATGAGAATGGAGCCGAGAGGCAAACCTCAACAAGGGACCTGAGATTGCAATTTCCGTAGAACGACCAAGCATGCAGATAATGTGTCAAACGGATGCCAGCACATAAGGCAGTTATTTATACCAATGAGAAAATTAATCGGTGGCAGCCGATCCTCAAAAGAAGAGAGGCCTTGGTTTGGTGCCTATGGGCACTTGGGGACTGAGAGGCTGGAGTAGTAGAAGAGGTTTAAAACTGAGTACCACAGTAGCAAAGGGAATCAAAAGAAGCTTAGGATGTTGAGCTGACGCTTGTGATAACTACAGCGCCATTGAACCGATGCGATATGGACCAAAAGAAAGGCCAAACAAGAGAGGGGAACGTAATTGTGAGCTGAGATTCATGATGGTGGAGCCGAGGGGCAAAAGTCAATCAGAGACCTGAAATTGCAATTTTGCAGGCGACCAAGAATGCAGGTAATGAGCCATTATCATGAGGCTGTTTCTTATGCCAATGAGACTGTTATCGATGCTCGAAGGAAGAGAAGCCATTGATTAAGACCTATAGGCATTTAGAGCCGGAGGCCGGTGCGGTCCAGGAGGTTTAAGATTGCGTGGCGCTGTAGGAAAGTGGATCAAATGTGGCCTAGTATGTTATGCTGACGCTATGGGAACCTAAACCACCATTGAACCGATGCGATATGGACCAGAAAAGAGGCCAAACAAGAGAGGGGACATAATTGTGATCTGAGAAGCATGAGAGTGGAGCCGAGAGGCAAAATTCAGCCAGGGACCTGAAATTTCAATTTCGGCAGAAGGACAAAGCATGCAGGTAATGTACCAGACTGAGGCGAGTACAAGAGGCAGTTACTTATACAAATGAAAAATTTTGCCGACGGCAGCCAATGCTCGAATGATCATCTCGAAGGATCATCTGTATTAAACTATCAAAGCCGCTACAAGCAGCTTGGTCCGGAACCACTTTGTCTGCGACGAATAAAAACCAACATTATTATTCTATTTATGCTAATCAGAACCTCGGCCTCAAGCGTCGCTGGTTTCGTCCAGCCATTTGGCGCTAAACGTCATCCTTCGTCAAAAGGCACACTCAATCTGACTACCGAAAACACGTTGCTCCATTTGTCCTAACGGCTTCCTCTATAGATAGGCGAAGTAGGGAATAAGCCACCGGAAGCCGTCAGAGCATCTGATAGTAACATGCAATACACCAAGGTCATAAATAGACCACTACGTATCCCAAACGTAGCAGAGGTCTTAGGTACATGCATCCACGGAGAGGAGCATTAGGAGAACTGCCCTGGTCATATATAGACTTGCATACAAATCCGCCTTATTGTGCCGAATAACCTCAATGTACCTACAGCATTGTCCGATTCTTCAACCGGCATCAATAAAGCTCTTTATCCCTAAGCTTTCCACTTCACATCGCGCTGTTTGTTTTTAGTGCTCCGGTAATCGGACGGCAAACTTAGTGTCCTGCACGACCTAGTCGCAACTGAGCAGTTTCTGAATGCTTCGATGACTACCGAGTTGCAGATTTAGTGATCCGTTTACAACACCTTGACAGCCTGCTGGAATTGCCTGCACTTTATTAGTGTAGTCGTTTCCTGCCCACTGCTGCTGACCCTCCCCATTTATTTTCCCACCTTACCTATTCGATTCATCCTCAACGCGCCGAATAACACAGTCTCGGCTGATCGGTCTCTTTCTTACCAACTACAGCGAATTTACCGGCCAATAATCGGAACACAAAAAGCTCTATTCCCCTTAACATGAGTGCCTCGTTGTATTTCCCGCACCTTATCAAGGAAATTCTTTTTATCCGGAACCGTTTCCTCTCCAACTCTACTCTTTGCTCTAAACAGATAGCATCGTTGACTTCTCCAAACATAACAGTTAACATTTCCATCCTGAACTATCATTTGCTTGCTGCGTCCTCTGTTTTTAATCCTTCTGCAGTCGGACAGATAGGTCTCACTGCCCCGCCTTAACCTAGTACCAGCTGGCAAGTCTGCTTCTAATTAACCTCATTCTTACTACCGGAATGGTAAGGTTCTACGCTCTGTAGATTCAAAGCAACACCTCCCTTACTTCGACAGCCCGCTGGACTCGTTCACCTTTAATTCTATTGCTACTTCGCTCTCTAACCTGTCCACCCCGTGACCCACTCCATTTATCCTCCAAAATTAACTGTACTAATCTATCTCAGTGCGCTGAATAATCCAATCTCGTCTGTTCGGTATCCTTCTCGAAAACTGGACGCCCGGTCCCCATTAACTCGGAGCCACGTTAACTGTCCCGTTTCTTATAAATAAATAAATAAATAAATGGTATATTCTCGGTAAAACGAGACACACCTGTAAAGACTTGATCAAATATGCATCAAAGCATGGCTTCTTTGGAACGTTAAAACATTGCGTTTTAATGAAAGGTATAAGAGGAAAGGTGTAGTCCATATGAGTGAAAATATTGTCAGATAATAGTCAGACCAAAGACATTATGGCGCTGTAGCGCGCAAAAGTCCGTCAAAACACAAGTTGGGGGTAATTTCGCCAAATAGTGATCCGTGAGCACAGGAGCCTAAACAAGGTTTTGTTGCAACAAATAACCATTACGAGATAGGGATGATCTGTGCTCCAACAAAGCATTCTTCATAGCAGAATTAGTTTCACAGGTTCGATGTAGAAGGCTGAGGACTGCGTCAGTGTGAAATGCTTAGCTGTGACTTTATTTTGTGGCGAGTCACATCCGCCACGTTGCAGTGTTGTTCAGCGGACATTTGTGGCTACTTACAGGGGGAAAGCTTGCCAGGCGAAAGCCCACCACGTCCTGGAACACTGCCGTAGCTTCCGTTGAGCAGTAGTGCAAGTCGACCATGCATCGTATAGACCGATTTTGCACTCTATTATTCGCAGTCGGTTGCCAGCCAAAATCCTTCGTTGGTTGGCTTAGTACTGATACGGCAGCAGTCGTTGCAGCCGGTCAATGATGCAGATTCGAATAGTCGAATGATAATTATGCAGGTGAGTAAACACATTGTTAATAGAGGCCGGCTCTTCTATTATATTCATGCTCGGCTCGCAAGCCATGTCCAGCTATCCTCGCTGGACTTGTCATGGGGTCGGTGAGTGAAGTTGTTTCTTGTGGCTGAATATGTCCTTAATAGGTAAAAACGCCATTCTCCGCAAATTGGATTTGGGATTCCTGCAAATGTAAGTAAGTGTAACTGTTTCCATAGCCAAGTGAAAATTCCATGGAAGACCATCGGAATAGCCACGTATACGTGCGCAACGCAGTCCGTGAAATGACATCAGAATAGCTCCAGGTGACTGGCGAATAGGAATGTTTAAGGCAGTGAAGTTACTCACACCAGATTTGTTTGTCTTCGATTGTGGAACGGGGGATCCATGTACATTTATTATTCCAGGTGAGTAAATTGTTCTCTCTGAGTACGAGGCAAGCTAAACCCATTTGTTTAGACCCCGTGAAGGTAGCACCGCCAGAATGACGGAAAGAGCTCCATTTGGACCCGTGTGTGGGTTTTTCATTTCCCGGAGAAAGGACCAAGCGTTTGATGATGGGTGAACCGGTTCCGGTGGATAAACCTTGTTTTGGCGGATGTAACTGTGGGAATCTTGGAAAAATGGGCAACGGACAAGAGGCAGCCAAACAGAGACAGCAATGAATCAAGAAGCACTAACACAGACTGGTGGCGCTCACCGGTGCCTATGATACATTCAAACTTATGTAATTTTGTTTAGTATACATAATTCGCAAGCGCGTTCTGTACATTACGTCGCCGGTGTGACGCAGACTACAGCTACTACGTGGGAAGAAGGTTCCGCACGCGCAGGGTCAAAAGACCGATATACCAAAGCGTTTTAACAAAAGTTAAGCGAATGATGCGATGGTTGGAGAGAAACAGGTAAACCGATGATGATGGCAGACGTCCGAATGCGAGAGGCATCTTGGGTGAAACTAAGGACAACTAGGTTGAGACCGAATGCGGGAGCAAGATAGGTAGAGCAATGTTCCAAGAGGTAAAGGAATTTCAAGGAATCGGCTAGGAGCGAATGAATGCTGACGGCAGTGCGAAGAGTAGTTCGTAAGAGTAATTACGCCAAAGCACTCATGATTCTACAGTCCAAAAGCCGTCAGAATCTAGGAAAATGGTCACAGGTGGCCAAAGCTGTCGTGCATTGGGAGTCGTTATGACACATACGGTCTCAATAATAGACAAATGCGAGCATAAGGTAAAGAGCCTAGGAATAGGAAGAGTGGTAAGTTGAGCATACTAATGGAAGTACTAGTCAAGAAACACTTAGCAATGGTCCGAGTGCCGCCAATAATCAGGAGCGAGCTCTGAGCGAAGGAGACCATGCGCACGAGGATAACTTGAATAGGCGCAATGAGTGTAAGCCGTGGGAATAAAAGTAGAGCGCAATAAGAGAAAAGGCCATGGATAATAGGAAAATAAAAGCAGGCAGAAAGAGACAGACGGGTCAGGTGAGACAAGATAACGGCAGGGCAGTAAAGCCGGCCGTCCTAGTTAAAAAGGAATGAAAACAGAAAGCGATAGAAAAGGTTAGGGTCTAGATGAGAAGGGATTATTGGTAAAGCGTGGAAAGGCCCACAAGCCTCTCCACGTAGTGTTTACAGAACCAATAGGTCAGCCGAACCAACAGAAGTGACGTCTCAGAAGTCCAAATGTATTCATTGAGTATGGGGCCGACTAAGCGGGATTGGATTAATCGGCGCTTTGGGGCTAGGCTTATAAAGAAGGTAAGAAAAGTGCTATAACACTAACGAGGGAACTAGTCTAGCAGTCTCTACGATTTGTAACGTCGAAGAACTCTGAGTGAAATCTGAAAACTAGTGGCCAGTCTGGCGAGACTGAGTTAGTCAGCGCGTAGGAATAGCACGTAAAATAAACGCAGGAAAAGTGGCTGTAACAAAAGGTGAACGAGTCTAGCAGCCTCACGAGGTAGGGGAACAAGAGCGTTGAGTCTGTATAGCGTATACCACTTAAGTCAGAGTAGCATAGGAGCAGTCAGAGAGAAGGAAACTGATCGGTGGACTAGATCACCACACGGCCAGTTGAAGAAGAATTGAAAACAGAGCGCGATAAAATATAAGTTAGCGACAGGATGAGAAAGGTTTATTGACGAAGGGTGGGAGAAGCCCACGAGGCTCTCCAGGTAATGTAATCGGGTAGTTGAGTCAGCCGAACTAAGAGAGATGACGTCTCAGAAGTCTGAATAAATCCGGAGAGCAGGAGGCCGATCGGGTAGGACTTGATTAGTCGGCGCGTTTGGATAAGGACATGTAGTAAAGGTAAGAAAGGAGCCAGCAGTAAATGGTGGGCAAGTCTAGCAGGCTCTAGATTTAAGGGAAACATCATGTTTAGACTACGGGGCGTATACCGCGTAAGTCTCAGTAGCATAGTAGCAGACTGAGGGAAACAGACTAGGCAGGTGAGCCAAGATCACGGCAATGCAGTAAAGCAGGACGTCCGATTTAAAAAGGATTGAAAACAGAAAGCGAGAGAGAAAAAGGTTAGGGTCGGGGTGAGAAGGGTTTATTGGTAAAGAGTGGAAAAGCCCACGAGGCTCTCCAAGTAGTGTAAACAGAACCATTAGGTCAGCCGAATCAAAAGGAGTGATGTCTCAGAAGTTCAAATGAATTCGTTGAATACGAGGCCGACTAAGCGGTATTGGATTAATCGGCGCTTTGGGACTAGGTCGTACAATGCAGATAAGAAAGAGGCTATAACAATAATGAGGGTACAAGTCTATCAATCCCTCAGAGTAAGGGTAATAGAGTTAACTCTGCTGGGGCCTATACCGTTTAAGGCTCGGTAGCATGGGAGCAGTCAGAGCGAAACAGACTAGTCCAGTGAGACAGGATCACGGCAGTGCAGTAAAGCTGGCCGTCCGATTAAAAAAGGGGAATGCAAACGGAATGCGCGATAAGAAAAGGTTAGGGTCAGTATGAGACAGGTTTACTGATAAGGAGTGGGGAGCGCATGAGGCTTTCCAGGCGATGTAAGCAAGACGTTGAGTCAGCCGAACCAAGGTTTGTAACGTGGAATAACTCTGAGTAAAACTGGAAAACAAGTGGCTGGTCTAGCGAGAGCCTGGATTAATAACGTTTCGGATGTCGGTGGGCAGTCAGAAACAGGGGACTGGTCAACCGAAGTTATATAAGAGCCAGATCGGAATGGATATCCGCCCAATGGAAAAGTGATGCAGAGTGAGAACAGGAAAACGCTCTATTGAGGGAAAGTGAAAATCCAACGATGTTCTCAGGGATGTGTGAGCAGACCGAAAAGTCTGCCAATCCCTGATCATTAGGGTCACAGTAGTCGGAAGCAAAGAGCCCACTGTGACGAAATTAGAATATCAGCTCAAAGAGTGAAATCCGTAGATTGTAAGTCTAATTACTTAAGGAGAGCATCGGCACAATACGCATGTGCAAGAAGAAAGGGGCATAGTAGTAAGGATGAATCTTGGCCAACAATTAATTTCAGTTGAGAGTTACAGGACGTTAAGTCGGCAGAGCCTAATTCACTTAGATCTCAGAGGTTCGTGGTGGGTCAGAAAGTAGTTGACCGTTTAGACGAGTCCGGATAAGCCAGGGAGGTGAAGTTAGGCCGCCAAATAAGAATGGGTATAAAAGTAATGAGTATCATCAGAAAGGAAGCAGCTGGGGACAAAAGTACTATTGGTAAAGGTAGTTAGCCGGCAGAGAGAACTTTAGCAGGTTGAGTAGAACAGTGTTGGGACCACAGAGCCCAGATCCTTAACGTCTTGGTGTCTGGAAGTGAGCAGGAAGCAGGGGTTGTTTAGACGTGGCTACATTAGAGCCAGTCGTTAGATTTGCTGATGTCTGGAAGCAGTCAGAAAGCAGTAGACGGGCCATACGAGGCTAGAGTACAGCCAGACTATGAGAGTTATTCATCCATTTGAGGATGCGGTGGCTGTGTGATTACGTGTCCTATTTGTGAGTAGGTCCTTGTTGCCAGAACTCGTCTTCAGCAACGCAGCTGTCCAGAAGCTCCGCTACTTTTGGGACGTTGAGTAGTCGTTTTATGGTCGAGGAGTATTGCACTGATTTTCTGATGCCCTGACTGTTTCTGGTAGCTTGTTCCATACGTGCGCAAATCTATAGAGGAGGAAGTTTGAACGGATGTTGCGACTTGTCTTTAAGAGAGAGAATGAGTGGGGTTTTTGGCCTATGGGGTAACGTGTAGCCCCATCGGTTGAAAAAGTTCGCCTATGCATGAGTCAGAGGTATTGAGAAGTTTGTAGAGGAATACGAGGTTAGCTTTAAGCCTGCGCATCCAGAAAGGCTCCAGTCCAAGTACTTTGCAGCGTCCTTGATAGTTGAGCGTTGATGGACCAAGAAGGCGCTTAGTAAAAACCGCTGGACTTTCTCGATCCTCAATCTATCAATCTTCCGTAATTGGTGAGAAGTATCGAGCAGTAATCTAAAATCGGTCGAGCACATATTTGTAGAGTATGAGCCGAGACTCAGTTAGGCTTACTGACTTCAGTATATACCCGATAATAGACCTGGCTTTGGCAAGGCTATAGTCTGCTTGCTCGGAAACGCTTAGCGAGCTAGAGTAATGCACACCGAGGTCTCGCACGGTGAAGCTGTTACCTAAGTGTGTGCCGTTGAGCGTTCCAATGTTGTGTGATATATTGCAACGGTAGGACAGGACGTTGCATTTCGTTGGGGAGAATTCAAGTCTCCAAATATCGCACCAATTTTCAAGAGCACAAAGATCTTGCTAAAGGTTTGATAGGCTATTTTGCTTGCAGCTGGGCTCGAACGAAAATACAACTTTGATATCATCGGCAAAAACTTATGGAGTGCCGTATCGATAGATGCGGAAGATGTCATTACTGTACAGCAGAAACAGCAGAGGACCATCTACACTACCTTGAACTACTCCGCTAGCTACGGGTGCTTTTTTACAAGGTATATCACCTAGTTTTACTGACTGCGTTCGGCTAGAGAGGTAGGAAGAAAAGGTTTTCTTTTGACTCTGTACTTACCTTACCGCGCTTTCTGTCTTTATTTGTTCTTTAATCGGAAAGTGCGCTCCCATTGCCTATCACAAAATGTGCCTCATCTGACCAGTCTGATTCGCTGTGTAGGACTAGTTATTACTAGTCCGAGACGGTGCGCGAAAATAAGCGCAGAT